CATTTTGTATAATCAAGTGTTTCAGGTGATACAGCTTCAGTGCATTGAGGAGCATCAGTGTGGACATATGATGACATGAAGGTTTGAACAGGAAGTGGACAAACTCTCCTGGTGCGGCAATCCTGTAAAATGCTGCTGAAATAGACACAAAGCTAATGTACGTTTCAGTTCGAGGCGGGTCTGGTTGCTTTGCTTGCTGACTTGTGCTTTCTGGGTGGATAACTTCCTTTAAACTGGTTGCTGATATTCATGAGGTTGTGTTTCGTTCACACACTCGCAGTTTTGTGCATAAAGACGCAGGCTGCCGGGTGTTTAGTTCATGCCAATCGAGCTTTGATTCGCCGCGCAACTGATCTCAAAGATCAGCTTGGGATTTATGTACTGTATGTATTGTTATTGATCTCAGTGACTTGCTGCTGTCTGCCCTAAAATAGATAGTTATGACTTTGCAAAGGGACCGTTGGGGGACGAAGCCTGGGCTAGTCTAGGCTGACCCATTGATTACGTGTAAAGGTGACCGAGGTGCACTATTGATCGTAACTAGTGGGGCAGATACACCGCCGCATAAAGAGGGCTAAGCTCTCAGTTTGATGATTAGACAGAGAGAGAGGGAGAGAGAGAGGGCTAAAGACAAGACTAAACACATCTCATGCACCAGTTTGCAAAATCAAGACATTATGAAAATGGCAAAATCAAAACAGCTGATACCGATCCAGAGAGTCACAGTCCTCTGTTTTGTGGGCTTACGCCTGACTGCCTGTACAACTGATACTTGGCTTAGCCGTGGAAAGGGTTCAGAGAGGGAGATTTGGGACCAGCTGAGATACCAGTCTGTCTCCATGCTTGGTTATAGAGATGGAAGATAAAGTCAGATACTTGTCTGATGATTAGCCAGCTCTGAGAATTAAGTGGCAAAACAAAGAGGACTTGCACAATCAGAGGTTAGAGACTCTAATATAGATTTATTCATCTCTTCTCTTTCCTCCCGTTTGACTCTCCGCAAAACAAAGCCAACCTATTAAAGCAAGTATTGAGTGGAGAAGAAACAGTTTTAACAGAAATATTGACATCAGTGCTGCCGCTTTTTTTTTCTTTTCTCCCCCTCCTTCTCCCTTTTTCTGCTGAGTAGTGGTGGTTTTAATCAGGGTCTGTTTCTTCGCTCGGCATCCATACGATGACTGAGCAGAGCGGTTATGAACGCGGTGAAACAAATGCACAGCGTATTTGTTAAGTTCCAATAAATTGATTCCGCATCAGTCTGTTTACCTATAATGAAGACCCTACAGATTGTGCTAGATTTGATTTCTGAGACATCTTTTCATCATCGCGTCCCCTGTGGGTCGGAGTAGCCGAGGCACGCCGGGCCTGATCCACTCTTTATTTTACTGCTACAGCGCCGGTGCCAATAGGAAATAGTAACTGCCCAATCAAAGCTAATTACCTAAATTTCCTACTTAATGCTAAACATGCCCGAGAGCTTCAGGCTTATAAGAGGAGTCAGTATGTGTGAACGGTAAGCATCAATAGCAGGAGCACCTCTTTAATCTCAGCTCAAGCGTGGCGTTCTACGGCCGCGTGCTGCACGTGCTCGAACCCGAAGTGAAGACGTTGCACTTTTGGGCTGTTTTTTTTTCTGTGTATCACATACTATCTCAATCTTTCTTTCTATTTCACACATAAACAAACACCGGCCAGCAGAGACTTGCAAGGTAACGCCACGGCATGCCTCGCCATGCTGTGTGGTGCCCCGCGGTGCTGCGCTCCATTCGGTGAGACAGCATGAAGCACAAATCAATATGGATTAAAACTCTGTAAGGAGCTATCCACCGACTTCTCCTCGCTTCATACAGAGGGGGGGGAGGAAAAAAAAAGTGTGCACTTATTATGCTGGATTGCAGATTTCCCCCCCTCCTTCCTTTTAAATCATCAAAAGTGAAGAGTGGGAGATTAACCAGCTCTGGACTAAGGGCCATCCTGACACTTAAGATGAATGCCTGCGCAACGTCCGCCTCATGCCACCCGTGGGCCGTATCCATCAAGCTGCTCGGAGTGCGGCGTGGTGGGGGGGCTGGAATCAGCACCTCATTCCACCTGCCACACCTAGACTGAGTGTCACACATGAGGACGCGCACTCATACGCGCACACAGTGACAGCCCTGGCAGTGGGCCTCAACCCCCACAGCAGTGGTGGGCTTCCCACAGTGCACCGCGGGACACCAGAGATCATCCCGGAGCTTGCAGACAGTCACAGAATGTTAATCCTCAGCCATCTCTTCTACTGTACTGTTAAATCTGGATCTTACTCTCAATTGCTTCTCCTTAGCTCCCCTCTTTCTTTATCCATTACTCTCCACCCTCCCCGACAATCCCCCAGAATCTTCCCCACATTACCAGCTCTAACCCCCTTTCCATCATCTGTTTTTAACTCCATCCTCTCCTCCCCTAAAATCTCCTGATCCGTTTTCTATTCGAAAGCGACAAGACCTCATCCCCATTCTCTCTTATCCCTTTTCTCGCCGCTCCCGGCCCAGCCCTCGCTATCAGCCCCACATTGATCTCCTCATCCCCAAGAACACAAAACACCAATCAGCCTGTCATAATCACTCTGCTGGAGGAGGAAGTGCTGAACGCCAAGCGCAGCTGCTACGTGTTGAAGTAGAGACAGTGGAAAAAGCTAACAGTGCAGCAAAGGGTAGCGGCTTTTTCTTTTTCTTTCTTTTTTTTGGCTCGACGTTTGCTGGATGCGTTCTATTTTTAAAACACGTTTAAAAAACGGGAATATGAAGGTTTATTAACTACACTGTTGATTCCTTTCTGTTAATGATGATACTGATTCTCATTTCTTTTTTTTATTTGTATCGTGGAACAATAAAGTGACAGCTGCTGCAACTGTTCATTCTAAAAATTACAGAAAAACAACCTCTGAATGATATCTGGTCTCCCACAGCTTCGCTTCTCTATTCACTCTGATTTTCTCTCATAAAAATTGCCTTCTACAGCTTGTACGTGTTTTTTTTTTGTTTAGTGTTTTTTTTTTTTTACTACTTGTCTCACAGGACTTTTCATCAGGACACTATGCCTGCTAACTTCCAAACAATAAATGCAGTTTATGATCTGTCAGCAGTCTCCAGACTGTTACTCGGGTCACACTGTGCTTTGTTGTCATACAAAACACATGGACTGCAAAGTTTATGTCTTCACATACCTCAGCATCTTTCCACCACGGGGGATCTGGCAGATCTGCTAAAACAGGAGCTGGAATGTTTGCTGTGATGCATTTAGACCTTACTTAGACCTTGTGAAATACTGTTAAAACTGCAAGTTTTACCCTTAAATTTACCCTTCAGTAGCTACAAAGTTAGATAAGTCACTCTCCCATGCTCTTTGATGCCTTTGCACTTACGACTGGTGTCTGCTTGGTTTGTCCCAGCAATTTATTCTGGTTGGCTCACACGCAAACTGAGTGAAACATCCAAGAGGCCAACTACTTGTGCTTTTAGTTCGTACTGATGGGCACACCGTAGAACTTGCAGGTATGAAAAGGTTACCGCCATCTGATTAATTGATGACTGAATTAGCTGCACCAGTCCTCACTGTCTTTAACACTCTATTACACAAAACGCTTTATAAGGAAGATTAAAGAACGAAAGCAAAAACAGCAATATAAAATTCAAACATCATTCTCCGAGCGGTTTTTACAGAAGATCAATAAGGTTGTTCATTGCCGTTCAAGGCGTCTTCCATCTCGCCGGGTAACAATCGTGAGCGCAGGAATGCGGCTGTGTTAAAACAGTTTCATTTCCAAGACTTTATTCTGCTTTTATTCCTTATTGCAAACATGTCTGACAACATTTCAACCAGTGGTGGTGCTCAGCAGCGCTCTGACATTATTTGTGTGTTTCTTCGTTCTCGTCTCAGAGCCCTATTGTGAAACTACACAACAAACAAAACAGTTGCAGGATACAGTGACATCTGAGGGCAGAATCGTGCTTTAAAATGACTCCAGAGATGTTATATGCTTTTGTGAATAGTTGTTTTTTTCAATAATGTGTTGCAGTTCAAGATGTTTGGTTGCTGTTTGTTTCTGTCTGACAAGCTGCTGGATTGCTGGTATATTTCCAACCTAAGACTGAACTATATTCATGCATTTTGGATCTGTAAAGCTGCTGCCTTCACGTACCTTCACTTTAGTTTCTTTAGAAAGAATAATTTACTTATTATTAATAATGATACCTGTAGACATTACACAGCAAAAACACAGACGTCACATGGCTGCAGCGTAAGAGTCTTTGTTGAGATAATTCATTTTGCATTAATTTCATTGTTAATTTGAGGTTCGGTGTTCACGGACATATAGAAAAAAGAGACAAGTGTTCAGACTGTATTGACCGATATGTTCTTTCACCTATAAATAACTGAATGAGGTTTTGTTGCATCACTTTGGACTGAAAAGAGCGAAATGAAACCTCAGCTACATCAGATGACGTCGTAGCTGAAGCATCTACAGCATCGCTTCATTAAACTATTCGTAACTATCCTTTAATGCTGCTATCATGGGATTTACCCCCACTCTGCAATCCAAACAGTACAACTTAATATCAATTAGATATGGTGGTAATATGGCGTTGCCGGGGATTTACAGTCCGATCGTCCGTCATAATTAAACCAATTAGGCTAAATGATTCCGCGTTGACCAGATGTGTTTTGCGGCGGCGGCAGCAGGAGGCTCAAAAGAAACCGTTTTCTTAGGATGGCTGAGGCGGTGAGCACCAGAAAACATCTGATTACAAGTTATTTAGGGTGGGTAAACAGCTAAAGTTGCTGCACGGAGAGAGGTGCACAGCTGTTTACGGCGTGTCCTCTCGCATCGCTCGATTGGGGAGCTCTGGTTCTGAGATGTTTCTGTCTGGAAGGAAAAGGCGGTGGATACGTGGTGCATATGGATACGAGCGGAATTTCAAAGCAATCTTAATGAGTCCGACGAGCAGAAACGTGACCATTGTGTAGGTGTTTTCAGGTGCACTCTGTATGTTCCTATGTCGTGTGGACGCTACTGCCAATATGCCAGTCCAGAAGATTAATGATTGCCCAGCCTGTTGTCCTCTACAGTCACTGGTGGGGTTGTATATCATTCCTCGGACATCTGACATCTGTATGAATGATTCATCTTGCAGACACTTAATTAATTGTTAAATCACATTCTGTACTTTGGTAAAGGCTGTCATTTTGAGAGATGTGCATGGAGTTAGTAGCTTGTGGTGTACGAACATGAAGCACATCTACGGCCACAATATTAAAACCACAGGTGACGGGTGAAGCGCGTAACATTGATCATGTTGTTATAATGCAATAGGCTGCTTGGCAACTTTGGTTTCATGTGTACAGACAAGACGGAGCTGTTTCCGCGTGGTGGTTTTAATGTTGTGGCTGATCGGTGCAAGTTATATGGCGGTAATATTTCAGCGTATATACTGGATCTAATGTCTTATAAGAAGTGAATGTTCCTTATTTCAATTTGAACATATAAGTTAAGAGATACATTCAGAAAGCCTGCAGTGTCAGTCACAGTAGATTTTTGTTAGAAACTGAGTGCTACTGAAGAGCTGGAAAGCTAAAAATGTACCGAAATGAAATACTGCTTTAATATTCGCAAAAATAATGGTAGGAGAAGGAGAGTTTTTCATTTGTATAGTTTCAGGCTTTGGTCATTGACAGTACAGTATGTTCTATATAACCATGAGGGAGAAAATGACGATCCAGATCATTAGCTTCATGACACATCTCAAGTAAAAAAAACTTTTAGCTAAAAGTTGATTTAATATTGTTTTATTTGGCTATTAATTCCTAAAGAAAATGCCTCAGAATACAAAAAGGTGAAGATTAACTAAAACTACTCCTCAGAGTTATTGTGCTTTAGACTGAATAAGCATTACAGTAAATCTATTTCAAGACTTTAATTTCCACAGAAGTGGAGCTATTTTCTCACCACAGAACAATGTGCACTGCAAATAGTATATTTCTGACCTGCTTCCACAGACAGAAAGTAATAAAATAAGGCACAGAGGGAAATTAACATCAGTAAATATCAGCGATGAAAACGTTCCCTTGTAAAAGTATTTTAATTCAGCCAGAAGCGCACGACGTGTGAATTTATATTCACAGCAATTTCACTCAAAGGTGTCAATGTCATAACGCTCCATTGTTCGTTTACGTCGGAGGCCAAAACAAATGAAGTGGCGTTAAAGCTGCGTATTTATCTGCATCACTTTATTATCTAATATGTATATGTGAGGCTCAGATTGTCGCTGTCACAGTGTGCATTGTTAAGTAAATTCACCTTTTTCCATCCATTCAAAAGAGCTTAAAGATAATAAACCTTCAAATGATCCCATTTAGATAATCTTTGCTCCAACATCTCCTCATCTCTTTGCCGCCATGAACATGAATGCCTCCTTTCTATTCACTTCAAGGTTGTGACCTTAGTATTAAGTCTAAGATGTAAAAAAAGAAAAAAAATCCTATTACGCAAACCTTATGGTATAAAATATAAAAAAAAATATAACCCTCACCTTCAAACATACAAAATGTTTTCCTTTTTTTTTCCTCCTTCTTTTCCACTACACAGTCTGCTCTCACTCACTTCTTCCACTTCTAACTAATGAAAACAGATGAAAACTCCACAGCCCAATAACACAAGCATTAACACTAATTCATGCTCACAGAGACAAACAATCTACGAAACACGAGTAAATACGGCTGACTTTCCAATAGCGGAGGAGGGAAGGAAAAAACCAAACCAAACCAAAAAAAAAAAAAAAACAAAAGCACCCTCTGGGAAATTTTCTCTGATCAAGCGCAAAGAGATTAACCAGTTGGACGTGTGCTAATGAACAGGAGATCATAATGAAAGCTGCTCGTAAATGTAGATGAGGCACGAGGAGGAGAGCTTTACCTTGTATCAGATGAAACACAAGAGTAACGTGCAGAAACCAATTATTTCACTGTTCTCCTTTCCATCCAACGCCGACACTCTGACAACTTTTAAAAAAAAATAAAAAACGGACTAAAGAGAAATGTAATGTTTTGATTTACGACATAAATGCTGCGGCAATTACAGCAATCTGCGCAATCATACTTCTAAAAAGTATTACTGTACTTTCTCAGCTGGAGCCCGGTTAGAAGCTTTTATACTGTGTGCAACAGCATGTTTCATAGACGGGCAACTGGTAGACAATGCAGTGAATCACACGCAGACAAGCACGGGGAACAAAAGCACATGAAATACAATCACATAAAGTGGGCTGACTAATCAAGGGAGGGGGGAGGCTACAGTCTGAATGTGACTTACTGATCACATAGTCTCCAAACGGATCCTCATCCTCCTCATCATCGAGGTACGCTGGGAGGTGAAGAAATGGGAGAAAGAAAAAAAAAATCGAGAGGAGAAGAGGGGGGAAAAAACAAAAACAAACAAAAGATTATGAGAAATCAAGAATGAAAGCATGAGAACAGAAACATAACAGCACCAGAGATGGCTAGGCAGAAATTAAAATTATACAAAAGCGGATGCCAGATATGGTTAAAGGGAAAAAAAACCCCCCGACATGAATGCAGCCTTCATCATCTACCTTTTTCCCCCCTCATTCTTACTCTCAGTTTGATACCTCCAGCCTTCATTGGGAGGCAAAGCGCTGAGCATTAAACTACAAAAGCAGTTTCAGCCGCATGCAGAGGAAAATATGATCATTCATAATTGACTGGAGAATTCTCAATTTGCTCTCAGTGCTCCCTCTCCCTCTCTCTCCCTGGCAGGTCCGAAGATGGTATGAGAGGCCATTACGGCTCACTAAATTCCCTATTAGGGGTGGCAGCGCAGTCGTCAGCAAGTTACAAGTCCGACGCCGAAGATATTTCACCGAGCCTGCGACTCTTTTGCCTGATAATAATACCGTTAGTCGCTGATGAACCCCCGCCGCCTGCTTACACCACCGAGTACGCACAGTAACACACATTTGAATGCTTTCATTGTCATCTGTATGTGAAAATCCTTCCATCATCTCTGCATTTGTTCGTCGCCTCGGTTTGCTTCTTCTTCTTCTTCTCTCCTTTCGCCGTCACTCCCGGGCTCCGTTCCTTCAATGTGACTTAGCATCCATCTTCTCTGATCAATATCCCGGGGCTTTTGTTAAACACTGCTCTTATGTATCTCTGCATGCGCGTGTCTGTCCTTGTGTTCAATATCAGCGTCGGTCCAGCAATGTCTTTATTGAGCCGGAGACACTCAACAAGGACTATTTTTTATCTTATTTATCCATCACCAGTGTGTTTGCGTGAGTGTGTGAGCATGTTTGAGCCCCGCGTCCAGCATGTTGAATAGGCCAATCATTATTGATCCGGACTGCGGGGCATTTTTCAACCCCCCTGGCTTCAACCAAAGACGTACACGTGCGCGCGTGTGTGTGTCCATCACTACTTTTCTCATTCCAGCATGCGTAGCTCTCAGTGCATGAACAAAAAGTCCTTGAACCAGTGGGTGAAGTATAGAGGTGTACGCACACACACACACACACAGACACACACACACACGCATGCACACACTCGCAGTGGTGTGTATTTGTGAAAGCGAGCTGTCAGTGCTGCTCTCACACACCATTCATCACAAGCTACTAATTCTGTTAGACCATTGTCGAGCCTTTCGCACCCCACGTTGCTCTCTGAAAACTCAATCAGAGGCTAATGCCCCCAACCCTCCTAACACACACACACACACACACACACACACCGACACACACACTCGCAAGCTCTCACTTTCAGTTTCTTGCTCACACACACTCGCAGAGACCCTGAGGGGACAGCAGTGATCTTAGGGGACCCCACCAGCCCAACTCTATAAGTGTTGCTCGAATTTGATAGACAGGAGCTGCATGAGTCGAGTTACTGGTGTTCTGGAGCGGCTGCGGTTGAAATCTAACTTCTCACACCTGAACCAACGGGGTCGCACAATCACCGCGTGGCTTATAATTATAATCTACGTAGTATGGAGCACTTTCTGTTCAAAATGAAAATGATCATAATTAAACATTATCTTAATCTCCTTGATTTTGAGACAATCTTTTCCGCGCTGCGCTTTTGTAAGGTATAAAAAAAAAAAAAAGCACATCGGCTGCTTTGAATGTGACTTGATTTATGGTGTGGTTCACTTTAAAAAAAAAAAGAATAAAGAAAGAGGCACTGGTGCAGGCACTCTGCCACCTGTGCTAGTAGATTTGATTAGTTAATCAGAGGAATCACTTTGCCCAGCTCGGCTTTTATAAAGCATAATTACCACTCTGGGTACAACCCCCCGCGAAAAAAAAAAAATAACAAAAAAACTTCTGACTGCAGATGTTTTAAGGGGCATTTAAAAAGTTTTTTTTCCCCTCTATTGTCAGAAAAAAAAAAAGAAAGGAAATTAACATAAAGTTTAAAAGCATCACAGAAAGGCTTCTAAGAAAAAGAAAATCAACAGTAAAAAAAAAAAAAAGGGTCTCTGAGGAAAACCAGGCAATTGAGCGTGCTCAGATGGGGGGCAGGGTTAGGCAGAAAGGCCAGACTAAATTTAGCGCCACCTTTTCATTCTTTAATTATGAGATTAATACATCCTGTCACATACGTCACAATACTACCCCATGATTTATTATCCAGTCGACCAGATGGAGAGATTGGAGGAGAGGGAGATTGTCTGAAAGCAGCTAATCAGCATACATGTGTGATTGGTCTCAACTGGGCAGCGAGCGGCCAGTCTGTGCCTGTGTATATGAAGTCGGCCTTATGAGTAAAACCAAGATTTATTGACGGAAAACAATGTTGAAGTTGAATTAGATTCTGTCTGTTTCCTTAACAGGCTGCTATTTAATGAGAGGGGAACACGGAGGCATATGGACCCCCGCACACACACAAGCACATGTAGAGCACTGGACTATGGATTGTGGCCATAAAGCCCGCCCTGGGCCTCAGGTTTAAATCAATGCCGAAGCCTGATCTTATTTCATCTAATGCATGTTTTAATCATTCCCCGTCCTGATCAATGCAGTTTGGATGCGGCCATCAGGCGCTGCTGTGGGAATTTACAGGCGCTCCCGTTCTCCTGCCTGTGTTTCCAGACGGACGTTTTATGAGGCGGTGCACAGTGTGACAGTAAATCTCTTCCTCCACTTTGCCAAAATGAAATCTCCCAAAGCTGCTCTCTATGCCCATATTTGTTTGTCTCACTGAGCTCGCGCAAAAGGAGCTCGCATTGGCTCTGCCAAGTCAACGTTCTAGTCTCTTTATTTTAATAGTGTCTGGAAGGGGCAATAAAAGAGAAGTGTCTTTATTCAATACTCGACAATAAAGCCGGATGTAGAGAAACTTTGAAATCCCTGAGTTGCATTTACGAAACTAATTTAACAGGCTTTACATACTTCTCTGTAATTGGAATTTGGCAGTAAATGAAAAAAAGAAACAACGACCACAAACTAACAACAAAAATAAATAAATAAAAAGGGGAAAAAAAAAATCCCAGTTTCAGTTCAGAAACTGATTTAACAGATGCCAGACACAACTACAGAGAAAAACTACTACATGGGTAAAAGGCATTCTGAATTAGGAGCTTGGACACAGTCAGATGAGTTTCTCTCTCTGTATATATATATATAAATATCTGCTGTTCTGTTGTTGAGATGCAAAAAAAAAAAATAAAACCAAAAAAAAAAAACTGTTTACTTGATGTTCTGTTTCAAGTTTTCACAGCCTTTGAAAGTCAGTCGGCGTGTCGACAGAATACGCATGTCTGTGTGCGTATTAGGGCCGGACAATAATTCACCGACAAAACAATAATTTCTGTTTATCAGCTGTCGTCAGCATATCGGTCGTTTTCTATTATTACTTCAAAGCCGTATGCGATAGAAACTATGAGTGAAGTTTCAATATTGTGTAATGCGATGACAACTGAACCGTCTGCAGCTCGTTGGCGCAGGAAAAAATTAGAAGAGGTGGACCTTTGCATGTACACGTTTGACGGATTGTGCATAAATTTGCCAAACTGTGACTACAAATAAATACTGAAATTGGAAAAAAACTATAAGAGCTTGTATCTGAATTAAACATGAGAACTGTTCAAACCTCTTTATCAGTGAAAATCGGTACATTTATTGTCCAAAACCTGTCGACAACAATCCGTCTACATTTTTCTTATCTCTGTCTCCTGCTGTCTAACGTATACACACAGTCATAGAAACACACTTAGTCACATATGACAGCATACAACAGCATTACCTCATATATGTGTGAGGTAATGCTGTTATATATATATATCTATGCTGGAGTTGTGCTTCCACGTGTACAGGTGTATATGTGGTGCTAATTGTGTTGAGACTATAAGGCACCAGGCAGCGTGGCTGGTACCTATCAAACGGATAACACATTTTAATTTGTTATTGACTCAGTTTGGATTTGTTTGTTTCAACTCCTCCAGAATGAAGGGTTTAAAAATAGTACATGCAGTTAAGCAGCATGGGATATGTGGGGAAATAATATTCACACTCTACGTAGGAGATTTTTACTAATTATAATGATGCGAAATGGGAGCTGTGAGGTAAAATAAACATATATGCATTGGTTTCTCTGCAGCCTGTTGCCCTGGTGACACCAACAAAAAATTAAAAAAAATAAAATAAAAAAAATCCCACAGACAAATTATAGTAACCCAGAGGTTTGTAATATCTGTCACCCTTTCTCTGGGCTTTTCTATTTTGGTGGTGAGATCTGCAATAGGGCACGCTTGGCACATTCATCCGCATGTACGCCGGTGCCCTGAAGGGAAACCCTAGACCCTTAAACTGACACCTGTCATTCACAGGCGCCGAGCTGCGCTGACAGGAGCGTAACGAGAGGTGGTGAGAGGCGCAGTGTGTGCAGCGAACAGAAAGAGGAAGCTTGAAAAGCCGCAGAAGAAAAGACGGGAGAGGAGGGAGATGAAGAAGGAGGAGGAGGAGGAGAAGCAAGTGGAGGTGAGACTTCTGAAGATCGTTAGAGATGCAGCGAGATGAGAGCGGTGCAGCGTGCTGTTTGGTGTTTTAGCACATCACTGTCTTTTTGATTTGTTAGCATGTGTTTATGATGTTGTTTCTCTGTCTGCCTCTGTCAATCTCTATTATTAGACCCTCAGATCCTCCTCCTGCTGTTTTGACACTCCCGTTGCTCCTCTTTCACACTCGCATGTACGAGGCCTGGGCACGAACGCTCTCACGCCCACGCACGGGCAAAATAACATATAGAAACACAATGACAGTAGCATATATGTGCACATGCAAATTCGGCACCCACACTGCTTTGATAGGGGGGGAAACACACGACGGTTTTATTCAGTGGGAGTGAAATCTTTCGTCTGGGTGCTTTGAGATGTGACGTGCCTTCGGTATCAGGTGTTTTGTTTGGAGGGAGGCGCAGGAGCAAAGGGTGAGATTTCCTCATTCAGAGCGACTAAGCAACTAACGAATTGACTCGATCAGACGCACGCACACACCTGGTCTTTTTATCGGGCTGCCACGCCGCCTCTGATCTCTTCACGCTGGCAGAGACACAAGTGCAGGAGCACGATTTAAATCTCCAGCCTGTGAAACCGTGAGACGAGCCTAAAGGCGTGAGCTGGTGGTTCCCCCGAACGCCTCTATAGAAGGCGAGCTTTTGAAGTCTCGAATTAAATCTAATTGACTTTGATTTGACACATGTTCTGTATAATCATCAAAATGAATTGCTGCAAAAGACAAGTGAATGTTTAGGGCCCTGTAGGAGCACAAAAAACACACACGAATAACACTTTTTGGCAAAGTTTCTTTTTGGAAAATCGGGGGGAAAAAAACAACAACCCAACAACAACTTTTGATCTTCTTAACAATCAACACTCAGTGACATCATACTGCAGGCGAATGATTATCACAATACAGAGTTGGATTAAGAAGCTAATTTTACAAGGTCTGGAAATGCCAGCGACAGAGTGCTCAATGGCGTTCTTCTGGCCCTGAGACAGAGAAAGTGAGAGCGGCGTCTGCAGCTGATATCTGTGGCTGCAAGATTAGCTTGGTAATTAACCACAAAGCAATTATCGGGTGGTGCGATGAGAGGCGCGTCTCAGGGAAGGTGTTTCTTGACGTGTTTAATAGGTGTTGAGTAGTTTGATCAGCCGACAGAAGTTGTTTCTGATTCGGAGGCCCGCGGTCCAACAGAGGTTGATCCACAGCTGATATGTGCTGCTGCCGAGAATTCAATTAATTAGACTGTTGCTCTTCCTTCAATCCACTTTTCATTAACCTCCATTGACACCTCGACGGAGCTTGTGCACAGGTTTACGACTGCGTCAGGATTAACAAGGAAATGGGAAGCTGGCAATAAACAAAGTTGCCAGAGGAAGGAGATTCCCGCTGGGAACATCGCACTCTCGCACTCGTTGAGAGACTCAGAGAACGGATGAGCTCCAGATGTAAATATTAGCTTCTCTCCGACTGCATTCTGGTCGGCGTTGGATCACAAAATGCTCCAGTCTTGCTGTGTCCGGAAAAATCCAAAAGATGTTTTTTAAGAACACTGACAGATCAGTGGTGAGATCTCAGCAGATAAGTGGTTTAAAAGGGTGGAGTTAGAGGGCTTTGGCTAAGTGCTATTGATGAAAATAAGGATGGCCCTCTGGGGGGTGTACAACAACTGTTCTTCAGATCACAAACAGACCCAATCAATAAATCCAACTCTCTTGCAATTCATATAATGGTTGCATGTTTGAGAGGTCTTCTGAAGACGATATCAATATTGACAAACTTTTGTAAGATTCATACATACATTCTCTCTCACAATCCCTCTCAGCATTGAATAAAAATACCAATCCAATGCTTTCTTCCCGGTTTCTTCTCCCTCATCAAGTCTTACTCACTGTCTTACTCATTTTTTCTCCAATCAGTGGGCCTGTGCTTTGGCACACTGAACACACACAAGCCTGACCACACTTCCTCCTACCTGACTCGTCGTCAGACTTGTTGTCATTCTCAGAGTCGGTGAGGGTGAGGGCTGAGTTATCGCGGCTGGACACTCCCGAGCTGCGACGGGACTTCACCCCCCCTCGTCCGGCCCACAGCTGGATGGCTCGCTCCGGAGACAGCGGCCCCTCGGGGTCCGAGTCGGCATCGGAGCCGGCGCTGAGGGAGTACCCCCTCTGGAGGAGGCCCAGGTCGGGGCAATAGGGAACGGCAGCGGGATGCGGAGGGGGAGTCGGTTCGCACACTCCCAGCTCGGCCAGGGTGAAGTTACCCCCTGCGAGGGAGACGAAAAGAGTTAGCCGGGTGGAGTGTCGGTGGCAATGTACGCAAACTGCACCAGCAAATGGTCGCACAAGCAAGTGCACACGCGTGTCTAGGAAACAAACCCACAATCACACGCAGAGAAGCACACTAATTATGAAACTATGGAGGCGGAGGATGAAAATTGGGCTTTGTTGTGGCAGGCAGGAGGGGGAGAGATGACGCAGCATGAATCAGGCACAAAATACAAACTAGCTGCTGGAAGGAATATGTACTGGCCTGCAGGCCTGTTAAGGCTGGCTTAAAAGGCCTGCCTCCCTCGCTTTACTGATCCACATTGGCATTCATGAGGTGTTGATGTGAGATCAAAGAGCTGTTCACTTGAGGCCTCTCAGACTGTAGTGGAGCTGCTTTGCTGCCTTCTGGGTTTGATAATCTCCCCACCTAGTTGCCATCACACACTGGACCCCAGGCTCGCTGAATATACTGCAGTCTGCTGCAGTACCGGCCCTGCTGCCTAACACTCTCCCCCCTCAAGACAAACCGACTCGTCACGTCCAAAATAAATATATAAAATTATCCAAATTAAAGCACATCAAAGGAGATCAATAAACAGTGCTGCAGCCCAATTAAATCCAAGCTGAGGAAAAAGCAATTAAGGAAAAAGGCATGCTCAACCAATTTATTCTCTATACTAATTAAAAGAGTATTGTGGATGCAATCGCTCACCATCAGCTGTTGGGGTAAAGGGATCGGGGGAAAAACAGTTGAGATTCACTTCATTAGCAGTTTGTGAGGGAGGGGAAAGGAAGAGGAGAGTGAAGAGACGTTGGCATTGTGATGGCACACTGTATGAATCAGTGCGCCGGGAATCACACAGCTGTGTGACTGGGTTAACTGTGACTCATCAGGCGTACGGACGCAATCAGAGAGAGAGGAATTAAACAGATGAAAATCGTCTGCTGGATCTTCATGGCTCCTCTTCATAGCCTCGCCGAGACTCGAGAGTTGTGCTGAAAGTAATGACGGCGGTGGGGAGGGAGGGCCTGGAAGGAAACTTAGCTCGGGAAGTGGTGAAAGGCTCTATACTTCTACTCAGACAAACAGATGGACGGGACTAGAGAGCAGAGGCAAGTGAATAACTCCACAGGTGGATTCAGCTATTACGCCACAGCTTGCCAAGCTTCCAGCCAGCTACAGTGCAAAAGGCACCCAAGCGCTGCGAGACAGCGGGGAAACATTACCATTCCTCATCTTCCTTGCTTCGTTGTCTTTTCCTCCCACTTGTCAGAAAAAAAGGACGACAAAAGGAACCTTTTTTTTTTCTTTTTTTTCCCAACAATATGTGACACTAGGGAAGTCTACAAATTGTTGATAATTTACTCTACAGTACTGCTACACAGGATCTAACTACAGTGGTTGGGACCCATACCTGAGATGAAGTATCGGAGGAGGACGGGAGAAAACTCCAGGAGGCCTGAGAGAGTGAAGCACATGGGTTCTTTAACATCAGTCAGCAAATTACCCTGAAACTAAACAGCTTGCTAGAAAAGTATCTACTCCACAATCACAGTTAGGGATTAGTCTTTATGCAGATCATCTCATCCAGCTACGATGACAATAACTGGGCCACACACACACACACACAGCTGGTCTAAACAAACGCTACGTGGACACAGTTACACAACGTGAGTGCGTCGGTGTTTGTGCGTGCGTTGCCACACATATCTAATGTTGCGTCCCACAGGACACCGCTCTGTACAATTAACATCTCATAAGCAGTGATTACACATGTAAAATCCAATCTCTTCACATCCCCATCAGCCGTAGACGCAGGCCGACGTACCACGTAGTCAAAGAAAGATGGATCGGCGCGAGCGGTTGAAGCAGACGTGAAAATCTATCTCAGTTATTCCACAAATAGAAAACCAATCGCATGTTTGTTATATGATATTATGACAGATGTGGGGGGCAAAATGTGGCGCTGCATTCTAATCAGATCAATGCCTGTCTGTCTATATGACACTGTCGCTGTCATACTTTCGCTTATAATGCAAATGAATGTGTGTTTTAAGCATTCTGCAGCTTCAACAGATGCCTCGGGGGTTATGAACATCTGTGTGTGTGTGTTCGTTGTGCATGTGCTGGCATGTGCAGAAGGGTCCAAATAAACCACGTTGTTCCGGCATGACTTGACAATGTCTCAGTGAGCTTTATGCCATGTCAGGAGCATTTGTCTCCCAGAAATGTTCACTGGGGTCAAGTGGAGAAAAGTCTGCGACAGTCACGTTCTTTATTCTTTGTGTTGTTCTTGCAAAGCTTTGTGGTGCATTTGGAGTCGTTATCCTGCTGCAGTAGGACTCCTTCTCCGCCAAGACGCAAACCAGAGACGTTATAGCGTGTCCCTTGGTCACGGCGGAGTCGATTCGGTGCAGGTGTTCAGCTACAGAGTAAGCACAACAGACTTGAATACTCCCAGCACCTTGTTTCACTGTCATTTCGTCGCTTCACTGCCGCATCGTTCTCTCTCTCCTGTCTGTGACCTTATGTACACTGCTGCTGCTGCCACAAATCTCAAACTTGTATTCATCAGTAAATAGGACTTTTTTTTTTTCTTTTTTTTTTTTTTCCAATTATCCGCTGTGAAATGCTGGTATGTCTTCGCCCACCCCCAAGCTTTTGGCCTTGTTTCCCCTCCTGATCGATGGTTTAGAGATGCTACACGTCCACTGAGACCGCTATGAGACAGCCTTTCTTTGACAGTACTTTTGCTGATTGGAGACTTGTTTTCTTTATTTAGCAAATTCTGCATCTGTGATGAAGTTGCTTTTCTACCTCTCAGTTTACAAATAATGATGTATTGATCTTCTGATGGCGTGCTCACTTTTGGTCTGCCTGATCGTGCTTTGGATACAACTGATCCAGTTTGAGCAAAGCGTCTTAGGCTGCCATGCACCGTCCCCTTGATTCGACACTAAGAAAGCACCTCGCCCCTTTAGTTCTGATGCCACGTTTCCTGCTACCAGTGATCAATGTTGTGCTTAAAAACTTGTGGCACAGCCAAATTTATAACAGGTTAACAATGGCTGCAAATTGAGTTACTTTAACAAGCCTCTGATAAGCAGATCAAATCCATGTCACGACTGTCATCTGAATGAGTACTTCAAGGATAACATGCAACTTAAGAGAATCTGACCTTTTGTGCAATGAAGTTGCCAAAAAGGCTAAAAATGTGCTTAAAATTGATGGCTGAGCTCGAAATAGTGCAGAATTTTAATCATTTATTTTTGTTTTGCATGTCAGAACCTGATTTTTTTATTTTTAATTTCTCATTATTTCCAGGTTTCCATGACAGCATGACAGATATTCGATGTGATCTTAGGCTTTTGGACCCCACTGCGCAATTCTCTGTTAATTGATCCGTGCATTCTATATAAATGATGGTACATATGAATTGTGCAAATATGTGTGAACGTGCTACAGGGTAAGAGCATCTACAATGCTTCGCTGAATGGCTTTTAGTTGAAGAGAGAGAGAGAGAGAAAAAATGAAGGACAGAGTGGAGGGAAGTGAGAGAAACAAAACTGATTTGACAAAAGAAAACATGGTAATGTGTGTGCACGAGTGTGAAAAAAAGACAAACACGAGAATAGATAGTTACTGAGTTAGGTGCTGAGCATCAGTGCAAATTGAAACAAGAGCACGAGATGAACAAGACTGGTAATCAGTATAATCAGAGTCGAATTCAAATGAGAATAGGCTTTAATAAATAACATAGAAATAACAAGGAAGAAGAAAAGGCGTGCACAGCATGAACTAACAGAACCAGAAAGTGGGTTACCAGTGTCTGTATGTGTGTGTGTGAACATCTGCATTAGACGGCGCAATAGAGGGAAAGCAGCAAGATCGAGAACGCTTCTTTAATCTTTCGCGATTAAAGCAACAGAACAGAAGGAACAGCGCAAGTACACCGGACAGGTTCAGAAAAGCTCATGGTGTAGATTTATAGAAGCAAATAATGTAATAACAGCTGATAATGTAATAAATTTGCACTTTTTACAGTTTAAAAGGCCAATAACGTAATAACTGGCCAAAAAAAAAGTCCTTAACCGATAGCGTAGTATCTTTTAGGCAATAACGTGATAAGTTATTACGTTATTGGCCTGGTAAAAAAAAAAAAAATAAAATTCTTTGCAAATGTAATAACCAGCCAATAACGTAATAAGTTATTACATTATCGGTTCAGGACTTTTATTATGTTATTGGCCAGTTATTACGTAACTGGCCTACTACATTTCGAAAAAGGCAAATTTATAACGTTATCAGCTTTTATGACGTTATCGGCTTTTATTACGTTATTGGCTTCTACAAGGTTGGAATGAGGACATAAATAAGGTAAATAACCTTTGTGGATTTGGGTAAAATTGCGACGATAATTTGCTATGTTTAGGGAAACGTTATCATCATGGTTACAAGAATAAACACTTGTTTAGTCTGGGGATGATTCTAAAGGAGACCCACATTGACTGCTAGTCTGGTTAAGGTCTCCAGCCAGACTTCCTACTTTGTCACTTCAACGTAAACAGGCGAGTACTGAGATGATTCAACCATGTGCACCAACAATTACATTACTATCCACCTACACTGTGTTCCTAATTACTCTATGCAAACCTTTTCTGTCGGATTACCTTCGTAATGTATCATTTTGTATTTTAATACTTTGCTGTTGCGCCTCGTTCGCCAACCAATCACATATTAAACGGTGCAGAATAATGTATCATTTTGTATTTTAATACTTTGCTGTTGCGCCTCGTTCGCCAACCAATCACATATTAAACGGTGCAGAACTCATCACTCTGGTAACCCACAAACATTGAGAAGCAAGAAACGTGTTGTGAAAGTTGTATTTTCACCCAAAACATGACATTTTTTCTACATCTAACCAAGTAATTTTGGGCCTAAACAGCAAGTAAAAACCAAAAGCAACATGAGCCAACATGAAACTTAAGACTA